TATTATATATTTATTATATAAAATTATCTTATTAAAATTTATGTAAAAATTATATTAAGATATTTAAATTTAACAAAAAAATACATTATATATTTTCTAATCCCGTGCCCAACACAAATTAAAAAAAAAATTCATAAATACATTTTGCGCACAGTATCGATAAGCATTATCATATTAAGCATTATCAAATTATTTCTGCCAGCCAATTTCTCTTTTAATATAAATTTATAATATAAAGGTATATTAAAGCTCCATAAAAAAAAAAAAAAGATATATTAAAGCAAAACCAAAAAATCCATTTTGTGTTTACATTGTGTGTTTACCGTGTGTGTTTACCGTGTGTGTTCACATTTATTCATATTTAAAAACTAAATAATTTTTTCTATTAAAACTTTGAATTGCATCAAACTAAATTAAAACTAGTTTAAATATTCATTTTCACACTACACCTAACTTTTTTTTCTATTTAGTTTTTTTTTTTAACCTGTTGTGGTTGCACGGGAATTATTTATGTCCTTTATATTAATTATTTAATTTTATAATAATTTTTTAAACAAAAAAAATTTAATTAATTTAAGGCAGAAGGTGCAATTTAACTCCTGTACTTGCAATGTTGTGGCAAGTCGGCCCCTATACTTTAATCTATGACAAATCAGCCCCTCTACTTCATGAAATCCGCATAACAGCCCTTTTAGTTAAGCTGACATCATCCAAACGTTAAACCTTTCAATTGCGCGCTAAAGCCTGATGAGGTGGTGCTGTTTGGGCGTTCACTGGGTGCTGATGTGAACCAATTCACTTCACCTGGGTTAGTCTAATATTTGGGGAAGTTCACATGTCTTTGTAGCAGGTTTAGATTTGAAAAATAAACTTTCAGTTATAAAAATTAAGGAAAGAAGTAATTATTTATAAAAGAAATAAAAGTAATTATTTTAAAAAATAATCAATTCTATATCAATGGAAACTATTAAATTATTAAAAAAGTATTTTTGCGTAAAAATTCTAGAAGATTGTCTTTTGAATATAAGTAATTATATTGATTTCAACATTTATTCGGTTATTATTTTTAGGACATGGGTAACCAAATAACTCTTTAATGGTTTTATAAATTATAAAAAAAAGTTTTATTTTCTTTATTTGAAAATAATAACCATTTTTTATTTTATCATTTAAAAATTAATGAGATTGAAAATTGATTATTAAAATGAATAGGGATTTATTTATATGCAAATTTTATACAATATATTTATATAAAATTTTATTTTTTTATTTTT